GCAGGCAGTGAGGAAAGCTAATGGCATGTGGCCTTCATAGCGAGAGAATTTGAGTATCGGAGTAAGGAATGTCCTGTTGCAGTTATACAGGGCCTTGGTGAGGCCATGCCTTGAGTATTGTGAGCTGTTTTGGTCTCCCAGTCTGAGGAAGGACATTGTTGCTATTGAGAGAGACCAGCGAAGGTTCACCAGACAGATTCCCGGGATGGCAGGACTGACATATGAGGAAAGACTGGATCGACTGGGCTTATATTCACTGGGATTTAGAAGAATGAGGGGGGATCTCATAGAAACACGTAAAATCCTGATGGGATTGGACAGGCTAGATGTGGGAAGAGTGCTCCTCATGTTGGGGAAGTACAGAGCTAAGGGTCACAGTCTAAGAATAAAGGGATAAGCCATTCAGGACTGAGATGAGGAAGAATTTCCTCACTCAGAGAGTTGTGAACCTGTAGAATTCTCTCCCACGGGAAGCTGCTGGGGCCAGTTCATTAAATATATTCAAGAGGGAGCTGGATGTGACCCTTGAGGCTAAAAGCAACAAGGGGTATGGGGAGAGGGTGGGAATGGGATACTGACATTACATGATCAGCCGTGATCATATTGAATGGGGGTGCAGGCTCGACAGGCCGAATGGCCTACTCCTGCGCCTATTTTCTATGTTTCTATGACATGAAAGCTAGGGAACTTGAAAAATAAATAGTGATGTCTTGAAAAAAGCTCATATTACAGAAGAGGAGGTGCTGGAGGTCTTAAAATGCATCAACGCAGATAAATCCCCAGGACCTGATCAGTTGTTTCGCAGAATGTTCTGGGAAGCTAGGGAAAAGTTTGCTGGGCCCCTTGCTCAGATATTTGTACCATCGACAACCATGCTGGAAGACCATATGGTTTCTAATGTGGTGCCAATATTTAAGAAAAACTTTAAGAAAAGCCAGTTAATTATAGACCAGTAAGCCTTGCTTCAGTGGTTGGTAAGTTGTTGGAGGGGATTCTGAGGGGCAGGATTTACATGCATTTGGGCTGATTAGGGATAATCAACATGGCTTTGTGCATGGGATACTGTCCTACTAAATTGATTGAGTTTTTTGAAGATGTGACAGAGATGATTGATCAAGGCAGAGCGTTGGACATTGTCTATATGGACTTCAACAGAGCATTCAACAAGATTCCATATGGTAGGCTGGTTTGTAAGGTTAGATCATGTGGGATCCAGAGGAAAGCTCACCTGTTTATTACAAAATTAGCTTGAAACTAAGAGACAGTGAGTGGTAATAGAGGGTTATAGAATCATAGAGTTGTACAGCATGGAAACTGACCCTTCAGTCCAACTCATTCACACTGACAAGATACTCCATATTAACCTAGAGCCATTTGCCAGCATTTGGCCAATTTCCCCCCCCAGTGCTTCCTATTCATGTGCTCATCCAGGTGGCTTTTAAATGTTGTAATTGTACCCTCTTCCACCACTTCCTCCACCAGCTCGGAGAGGTGACGTTAGGCATGGTGCAGCTGCTGCTCAGTCTGAAGGAGGCCCGCCTGAGACACATTTACTCCTTCGGGCAACGGGCTTTCATCTTCCTGGCCCGGGAGAAGATCATAGTTCAACACCAGGACGGTGTATACCAGGTGTTCTGGAGTGTGTGTAGTGTTATGCCTGTAAGGAGGAGTTACCCTGGTTATGGACATCAATGGGGTGGAGGGAGAGTGTCTGCATGGGAGGAAAGCCTGGAAGAAAAATAAACACTTGTGGGTGGCCTCCCAGGACGATTCCCCAGGTGAACCTGAGACGATTGGCCCCAGATTGGGGTGGAATCCCTTCTGGTGGATAGTGATCCTGAGCCCATCATCACAGCACAGGATTTGAAACCTGGCCCATCAATGATGAGTGCAGCAGCGAGCAGGCAGTGCCCTCATGTTTTCTCCAGCCCCTTGTGTGCCCTGAAACCCATGAGGGAAAAGAAAGAAGGGAGGACAGTTGTGGGGGTGGGTTGGTTGTAGACAACAAGACAGTGGAGAGATGGAGGTATCTCTTGCTCTCCCACTGTCATGGAATCAGCACCACTCCTTGGGGCCTGAAGGATGGGGAAGTTCAGTTTTAACAACACCTCCCCTGTGGGTGAGCAAGTAGTGTACCTGGAAGCCCCTTTCCCACCTCACTATGGGAGGGACACGAACCCACCTCTGCAGTCACCGTGACTGAACCAGGCACCTCAGAGGCTGAGTTGGACTTGGCCGCTGAGGTCTTGCCCATGCCACAAGAACTGGAAGGCCTTGAAGTGCTGCCTGTGCTGACTAGGGACTTCAATGGGGATAGTTACCCTGAGGGCACCCTGGATGGTAGCAATGAAGGAGCAGGCATTCTCGCTCCCTCCTGTGTGTTTATGTTGGGCACCTCTGGCCTTACTGGGGATCATTTCCCAGACATACAGGGTGGCCCAACTGGAGGGCATTTTCAGCCTAGATAAATATATTCTGATTTAGGTACTTTTATTTTTGTTTCTGTTTAGTTTTGAGTTTGTGTTTGTTTTTGGTTTGGTGCCCTAGGAAGACGTCTGTATTATTTCCCCTTTGTCTCAATTTTGCAACCCTTGAAAGAACCAAGGGGGCTTTTATTTTGACCCAGTGTTGTCCTGTTCCTGAAGTGCTTGATGGGGTCAGTGTAAGGGGACTTTTATTTTCATTTGCAACGAGTAGAGGAACTTTTCCGTCTGACTTTAGACCATTGTTGTGCCTGTCCTGGGAGCCTTCAGTGGGGATGCAGCTGAGGCAGTTTGATTTTTAGTTTCCTTTGCATTTGATTGAACCATGGAATGTTTATTCCACATTTCAAACCCTTACTGCCCCTGCCCCAAGAGTGGTTGGTGGGGCAGAGTCGAGAAAAGCCATTTTTTGTTTGATTATCTGTTTTCTTTTTTTGAGTTGGGGAGCTTTTACTTTTCTGTTTTAAAAGAGTAGATGGGTTTTCTTCTATACTTAACCCAGTACTGTCCCCATCCCAGGAGTGTCAGTGGTGGGGTGGGTGGTTGAATGGCTTGACAATTCTGTTTGTTTAAAAGAGTAGGAGGTTGTTTTTTCCGACTGAAGGCCTGTGACCAGCACGGTGACAGAAGAGTCAGTGCTGGGTCCACGGCTGTTTGTCATTTATATAAATGTGAATATAGGAAGTACGGTTAATAAATGTGCAGGTGAGACCAAAATTGGAAGTGTAGTGGACAGTGAAGAAGATTATCTCAGAGTATAACGGAATCTTGAACAGATGGGCCGATGGGCCAAGAGGTGGCAGACAGAGTTTAATATAGATAAATGTGAGGTGCTGCATTTTGGTAAGGCAAATCAGGGCAGGGCTTATAAAGGGACTTATCCAGAACTGAAGGGTTTGACCCTATTGGGAGAGGCTGAATAGGCTGGGGCTATTCTTCCTGGAGCATTGGAGGCTGAGGGGTGACCTTATAGAGGTTTATAAAATCAGGAGGGGCATTGATCAGGTGAATAGCCAAGGTATTTTTCTGAGGGTTGGGGAGTCCAAAACTAGAGGACACAGGATTAAGCTGAGACGAGAAAGATTTAAAAAGGACTTGAGGGGTAACTTTTTCTCGCAGAGGGTGAAATGTATATGGAATGAGCTTCTAGAGGAAGTGGTGGAGACTGGTACAATTACAACACTTCAAATGCATCTGGTTGGGTACATGAATAGGAAGCATATGGGATATGGGACAGATGCTGGCAAGTGGGACTAGGTCAGATTAGGATATCAGACCAGCATGGACGAGTTGGACCAAAGGGTCTGTTTCTGTGCTGTGTGACTCTACAACTCCATAAGATCAATACTGTTCCCCCTTTAAAGGATGCTGTGTGAACCAGTTGGGTTTTTCCATAAATTCAGAAGTTTCATGATCATCAAACTCTGCCAAATGCTGTCTTGATTTGAGCGGATGTCTGCAGGGTATTGGTGAAGGGATCTGGAATTTGTATCTCATTTCTTACGAGTCATTGTTATGTTGCTGGCTGCTTAAAAACTTGAGCAGCTTGGAGGAGGTGCAGTAAAACATGACGGTTTTGTTCCAGGGATCAGAGTCTGCTGTCACTAGATTAATTCAGCAAATTTCGGTGTGCTCTAGAGTTTGAGAGGAAACTTGGCAGAGGTGTTCAAAGTCATGAGAGACAGAGTCAATAGAAAACAAACTGTTTCCATTGGGAGCAGGGTCAAGAATTAAAGGACACTGAGTGCAGATGTTTGGAAAAAGGAGTAATCGCATGACAAGGACAAATATTTTTACATGGCAAATGGTTACGTTATTATTTTTATCCACTTCCTGGCCAACATTTATTGCCAATCCCTAATTGCCCAGGGAGGAGTTCATTGTAGTGAGTCTGGAGTCACATGTAGGCCAGAGCAGATAAATTGTCAACAAAGTACATCAGTGAACCAGATGGGTTTTTACAGCAATCAACAGTAGTCACATTGTCACCATTAGGCGAGCCGCTTTTTATTCCTGGTTTTAATTGAATTCACACTTCACCATGTGCTGTGGTGGGATTAGAATCCACATCCCCAGAACAATACCTGGGGCTCTGGGTTACTATTCCAATCAAGTAATTACCATGTCACCAACTTCTCCTCAACTTTAAATGCACTGCCTGAGTGTGGTGGCAGATTCTATTGTGGTTTTCACAAAAGGAGTCAGGTCAGAAACAGAAATGAAACAAATTGCAAGGCTATGGGGATGGGCTGAGATAAAAAGGTGTGGAGCTGGATGAACACAGCAGGCCAGGCAGCATCAGAGGAGCAGGAAAGCTGATGTTTCAGGTCTGGACCCTCTATGGGGATGAGCTGACTGCCTCCAACAAAGAGTTGACAAGTTTGAACCGGAAGCTGGTTAGCTTTAACAGGAAGCTGACTAGCTCTAAAGGAGAGCTAACACAGATCTCTATGATGCAACCAATTCTATAATTCTAAACTCAACTCCCAGAGGATTATCAAGACTGATCATGCTCACCTGAAGCAGTTCCTTGTCCATGTGAAGTAGCTCCTTTAATCTTGGTCTCCCACCCAGTTCCTGGTGAATGACTAGTGGGTCTGTTACTGGGGACAGTGAACACTGTTCCATTTCCATGGTTCCCATCATCAATGGCAAATTCTTCACTCTGTGCTGCTGAAAGATTTAAAATCTGGCACCAGATCAGAAATACCAAACACACCTTGCAGACGGACATTGTAAATGATCACAACTCTCTGCTCTCCACTTCAGAGTTCTGTCCCTTTGTTAACACATAGATTTCTACCTGCCCTCCTCATCAATCCTCTTTCCCTTTTGAGTTTCTCTATGCTTGTGCTCTCAATCTTTCTGTGTCTCAGCTTGTTTCTGAATCTGTGTCATTCTGTGATTCATGTCAGAAATAACTTTGTAACAGACCAGCGTTAACCAGGAAGTAAGAGGAAACCCTGAAAAAGAGATGGGATTGAACAAGTTGGGAGCGGGACCATGTATGCTGATGGGCAGTGCATTCTGCTGGGACACTAAATTCCTACAGTACAAATGCTGAATGCACAGAGGCAGATTTCTGACTTGCTATGCTCCCCTGTTGCTTTGTCAGAGACACCAGGCCAGAAATTCCAGCAGAGAGATCACTGCTGTAACGGCAAAGATTGTAGTGTGAGTCTGAACCTGCAGAAATCCCCATGGAGCTGTCTGAGTTAGAGTTGGAGATTTCAGAAGGTTCCGACTCACTTCATCTTAGTAATTACCAGGAAATGTTCGAGGATTAAATAATCTGCTCAAACTCCTGGGACCCAACAGCCCACAAACCAATCACTATCCCCCGATACTGTTAAACATAACATTTCTCAACCCCCACAGTTGGATCCTATTGGGCCAGATCACCCCTCCACTCAACCCAACAGGGCACCTCCCTAACCCCTAGTGATACCCTTAACCCAACATCACCACTGACCAAACTCCACCAGAGCCCAACAACCACAGCCTAACCCAACACCCTGGCTAATTTAACCTCACATCCCCTGATGGTCACTCATAATTCCCTGATGCCTCCCATCCTGCCGTTCTCCTGACCCTTCCTACTGCTCCAAGACCTGACCTGACATTCCCCAGAACATTCATGACCCAATCCCAATCCTAGTCGACCCAACAATACTCCCGATCCAACAAGCCCCACCAATCCAAATCTGTTCCTGTAATGACACACATGGACCTGACCATCACTGCTCAACCCTGCCCCCAGTTAAAACACTCAGCCATTTAATTTTCACCTGAACCCTCATCCACCCAGCAGACACTGGAACACACATTTGTCTCGCAGACCTCTCCTCTCTCAGTCATTTTCTACCGGCTGCGGGACCTCTCATCACTGAATTTACACCTGATAACTTCCATGCTAATCATCTGTGCTGGTGGCTGTCACCAGTCCTGGACTCACCTTGGCTATATCAGAACAGAAGGCACTTTGGAAAATATTGGTTCCCATTGTTTGGACTGAAAAGGAGTATGGCACACCCCCATCAACATCAATGGAGCTGAGGTGGAGAGAGAGTCGAGGGCGTCAACTTCCTCAGAGTGACAATAACATACAACCTACCCTAGACTTCCCATGTAGATGCTACAGTCAAGAAGACACAGCAATGCCTCATCTTACACAGGCAGCTCAGGAAATTTGACATGTTCATAAGTTCCCTCACCAACTTCTACAGATGCACCATAGAAAGCATACTGTCCAGGTGCACAATGGCCTGATACAGCAACTGTCCTGCTTAGGACTGTAAGAAACTACAGAAGGTGGTGTGTATAGCCCAGACCATCATGAAGCCAACCTCCCAACCATGGACTCCATTTAGACTTCTTGTTACCGTGGAAATGCTGCCAACATCAAAGACCCCTCCTACCCCAGTAACAATCTCCTACAACCTCTTCTGTCAGGCAGATGATGTGGAGGTGCCAGTGTTGGACTGGGATGGACAGTAAAGAAACCACACAACACCAGGTTATAGCTCGGTGGAGCTCGGTGACCAGTGGTGTTCCGCAGGGATCTGTTCTGGGACGTCTGCTCTTTGTGATCTTTATAAATGATTTGGATGAGGAAGTGGAAGGGTGGGTTAGTAAGTTTGCCGATGACACGAAGGTTGGAGGAGTTGTGGACAGTGTGGAGGGCTGTTGTAGGTTGCAACGGGACATTGACAGGATGCAGAGCCGGGCAAAGAAGTGGCAGATGGAATTCAACCCAGAAAAGTGTGAAGTGATTCATTTCAGAAGGTTGAATTTGAATGCAGAATACAGGGTTAATGGCAGGATTCTCAGCAGCGTGGAGGACCAGAGGGATCTTGGGATCCACGTTCATAGATCCCTCAAAGTTGCTACCCAAGTTGATAGGATTGTAAAGAAGGCGTACGGTGTATTGGCTTTCATTGGCAGGGGAATTGAGTTTAAGAGCCGTCAGGTTATGCTGCAGCTCTATAAAACTCTGGTTAGACCACACTTGGGATGTCACGTTCAGTTCTGGTCACCTCATTACAGGAAAGATGTGGAAGCTTTAGAGAGGGTGCAGAGGAGATTTACCAGGATGCTGCCTGGACTGGAGGGCAGGTCTTATGAGGGAAGGTTGAAGGAGCTAGGGCTTTTCTCATTGGAGCGAAGAAGGATGAGAGGTGACTTGACAGAGGTGTGCAAGATGATGAGGCATAGATAGAATGGATAGCCAGAACCAAAGAGTGGTGGGCGTGTGGAATGCGGTGCCGGCAGTGGTAGTGGAGTCAGATAGATTAGAGACTTTTAAGCGACTCTTGGATAGGCACATGGATGATAGTAAAATGTACGGTATACAGGGTAGTTTGATCTTAGAGTAGGATAATAGGTCGGCACAACATCATGGGCTGAAGGGCCTGTACTGTGCTGTACTGTTCTATGTTCTATCAGGAACATCCTCCCTGCATCTACCCTGTCCAATCCAGTTAGAATTGTATAAGTCTCATTCGTCTGAACTCCAGCAAAAACAATCCCATCTCTCCTCATACGTCAGACCCGCTATCCCTGGAATTCTTCTTCAAAAACTCAAGCAAGTTAATTAAACATGATTTCCCATTTAGAAATCTGTGCTGACTCTTCCTTATCAACCCAGCTTTTTCCATGTGATTACTAATTCTCCCCTGAATAATCATTTCTTGAACTTTCCCCAACAATGAAGCTAAACTGACTGGTCTGTAATTGCTGAGATTATCCTTACAAGCTTTCTGGAACGAAGCAGTAATGTTTGCTATTCTCCAGACTTCTGGCACCTTCCCCAGGTCCAGCGAAGACTGAGAGATTATGACCAGTGCCGCACAGTTTCTACACAAAATAAAAACCGAAAGAACTGTGGATGCTGTAAATCAGGAACAAAAACAGAAGATGCTGGAAAAGCTCAGCAGGTCTGGCAGCATCTGTGAAGGAGAAAACAGAGTTAATGTTTCAGGTCCGGTGACCCTTCCTCAGAACGGGTTTCACAGTTTCTACCCTCACTTCCTTCAAAATCCTTGGAAGCATCAGATTGTGTCCCTGTGCCTTGTTAACTTTAAATACCAACAATCTGTTTGAGTTTGTGAGATGTATTTGTTGTGACAGATTTAGTCTGAGTGATGATTCTGTGATTATAAGGAAGTAAAGAAAAGGTGGTGTGATGTTCACTTGTGGAGCACAGGAGATCATTAACTTTTTCAGGCACAGTTTGTATCCCTTTGTAGGTTCAAACTGCACTGCCCTACACTGCCATCGAACCTGGGCTGTATGAGTCTGGTACAATGGCCTCTTGGTTCTACTCACTGGGAAAAGAATGGCCCATCTTTCTGTGCTCATGCCCAGTAAAATCTGCAGGCAGAAACCAGCTACCGGAAACTTCCTTCTGAGCATCTCGTGTTGCCAGCGTGATCACCACAGCCTCAAGGGAACCTCTTGGTTTACATTGTCAGAAATGCCGCCAGCTGACCTTTCAATATGGAATCAGACCCCTTGAACCCAGAAGGTGTTGCCAGTTATGAGAATGTTGGGCACACTCACCACAAACCAAGGAACTCAAGCAGCAAGAGATAGTAAGAACTGCCGATGCTGGACTCTGAGATAACACAGTGTAGAGCTGGAGGAACACAGCAGGCAGCATCAGAGGAGCAGGAAAGCTGACGTTTCGGGTCGGGACCCATCTTCAGAAGGGTCTTCAGACCCTAATTCTGAAGAAGGGTCCCAAATGGAAACGTCAGCTTTCCTGTTCCTCTGATGCTGCCTGGCCTGCTGTGTTCCTCCAGCTCTACACTGTGTGAACTCAAGCAGCATATTCCTTTCAGGGATAATGAGCTGAGAAATATGTGCAGATCAGTTAAATTGTCCTGGTGGGATCCAATGCCATACAACACACCTGACACCATATTGTAGCTTCAAAAAGAAGAAATCTGTCTCATGTCTCTCAGCAATAATCAAGATGTGGATGTGGTGGTGTTGGACTGGGGTGGACAAGGTCAAAAGTCACACAACATCAGGTTATAGTCGAACAGGTGAAGTGACACGTGACAGAGGGGCAGTGCTTCGAAAGCTTGTGTTGGACTATAACCTGGTGTCGTGTGACTTCTGACCTCAGCAATAACCAAATATAGTAGGGTTACCGAGAGAGTGTGGGGAAATTGTACTGACTGGATTCTCCAGAAAGAGCTGACATGGACTTGATGGGCCGCAAAGAACCCAATCAATAAAGAAACTGGCAAACAAATCCACAGTGAACTGAGATTTCTCTGCACAGCTAGTCAGTGGCAAGTGGAAGCAAAATGAAATGCAACTTTCACAGACACTTGGAAAGGAAGTATTTCCAGAGCCATGGTGCAAGTGTAGGGAAGTCAGGCAAATCACACAGTTCTTTCAAAGAGCTGGTATAGGTACGATGGCCCAAAAGGCCTCTTTCTTTATTGGGTTCTATGAAAACAAAATGCTGGGACTGCTTAGATGGGCCTCAATTACTGAAATTGTTCCCATCCATGACATTATCAGCTCTCACATTCCTCATTCTGCGATATTTACTTGAGACTCCGGCCTGGCAACTCCTTTGCCCCTTTCTCAGAACGTCCTTTTCTGAATGTTCATGCACTCAATTGCCATGACGTTTCCACCATAACTTTTCGCTGACTGACCTTTGATCCCTTAAGAAACACTGGGGAACATACTGTTATACTGGTGAGCACTGCAAGTCCACTTTGTTATTTCACTGAGAGATGTTTCATATTCAGACCATGTTCTTTTGTTTGTCTGTTCTCTGACGTAGGAAGTAGAGCACACAACAAACATCAGTTCAGAACTAACAGTGAGAACCTCAGGAACAAACTCACTGTTCTGAACAATTTACATTGGCAGTGATATTTGCGGAGATATTAGTGTGAAGTACACTATTACACAGACACACTCACTATGATAGTGTTGGGGGGGTTAGTGTGAAGTACACGATTACACAGACACACTCACTGTGATAGTGTTGGGTGGATTAGTGTGAAATACACTATTACACAGACACACTCACTATGATACAGTTGGTTAGAATAATGTGAAGTACACTATTACACAGGCACACTCACTATGATAGTGTTGGGTGCATTGGTGTGAAGTACACTATTACACATACACACTCACTATGATAGAGTTGGGTGGATTGGTGCGAAGTACAATATTACACAGACACACTCACTGTGATAGTGTTGGTTGGATTGGTGTGAAGTACACTATTACATAGACACACTCACTATGATA